GAGCCAGGAGGCTCTAGGTGCTCACCTTGGCTCTGCCCCTGACCCTGACACTCACTCACTTGCCCCCCTGAGCCTCAGTGTACCCATTCAGAAATGGAACCAGTGGCACCTACCTGGCAGACCCTTGCCACATTTCTCTTTCCCTTCAGCCTGGCTCTCCATCTCCCTCAGTATTGACCAGTGCTCCCTGAATGCCCTGTTCTAAGTGTGGCCCAACCCACCAAGCCCTACAACAGCCAGACAGGGCAGGTACTTCAAGACTGAAACTCTGTGGCAGGGTGGGTCAGCTGCCTGCTCAATGAGACACGGCAGGGGAGTCAAGGTTCAAAGCCGGGGCATCTGCCCACAGAGTTGTCTCCAGGTGGCACGTCACCATTGCCTCAGACTGACGCCCTCACTTCAATTCCCACCCTTGGTCTGCCAAGCAGGGCTTCATCCAAGGCTCACCTCCTTGCCCTGAGGGCTCCTGGCTAGAGTGGCCACACTTAGCCCTGGCCCCCAACCCCCACCTTCCTTTCCTTCTCTCCCAGTGGGCATTTCCAAGCCCCATGCTAAGCCTGGGCTCTGCATCAGATTCTGGAGTACAGGTCAGCATCGATTCTGGGAAGGGCCTGAAAAACATCATGCCCTCTTCATCACCTCCCTCGGTTTAGAGATGGGGCGATGGAGGCCCAAAAGAAAGCAACTTTCCCAAGGCCTCCTTCTGCCACCCTGCTCAGCGGCACCTGCCTGCAGGTGAAAAGACAGCCCTGGCATAAGTGACCAAGGGATGCAAGCCCCAGGGACCACGTGGAGCCAGACGAGAACTAAGGCCTGTGCACCTCCACCCTAAAGCTGCCCCTGCCTTGGACTCTGAAGGTTCACCTAGCTGCTCTCCACATCCAGCTACTGTCCTCATCCCTGGGCCTGGCGTCATTCCCTAACAGATTATCTCAGAACCCTTGGGTGGGTCTCCTGAGCTCGGCCCACCATCCCAGTGGGCAAGAGCCAGGCTAGCCCCACCCTGTCCCTCCTGGCCAGCGCCCACACCTGCAGCCTGGTCCACCTGGACCCCTAGGTCTGAATCTGAACCCCTAGACCTGGACCCCTTGGCCTTGTGCCCCCTCAGCGTGCTCTGACTGTCACCTATCAGACCAAGACCCAGCCCAGTTCTTCTTCCTCCTCCGCCTCCCTCTCCTTCCCCTTCTTTCTTTCTTCCTCCTTCCCCCGTCCTCTTTACCCTCCTCTCCATCCCCTGTTTCCTCTCCCCTCCTTCCTTCCTCCTCATCCTGGAAGTTAGAACGAATCTGAACCACTGCCTTCTCCCCCCAAGCCCATTCCTAGCAGGTATTTGCCGCAGCCAGCCCAAGTTGTGGCTGTTCCTACAGCCCACCTCCCTATACAGGGCCTGCATCTGCCGCATTTTCACATTAACCATGATGCTCTGAAACACAGCTCTGGGACAAGGTCCTGGTAAGTATCCATTACCCTCTGGCAACTATTATTCTCCCTGAGCCCCTGATCTCCCCCTCTGAGCCAGGCAAAGATAGCATCAATTCCACACCACCCCCAGTGCCAGGGCATTGCCCAGCCCCTCCCCCAGGACTCTACAAACACGCACCCAGGTGGCATAGCTATCTAAAGAGAAGGAGGGGTCCCTGACAACATGCTCCTCCCTGAATCTCTGCATGCCCCAAATCTCTGCATACCCCAGAACCTCCACATGCCCCATGGCAAGGACCTGGCCTGGGCAGATTGTAAATGTGCCTTTGAGGACCACAGGCCATCCTCAGGCAGGTGTTCTGAGATAACTTCTCTGCCCATGGAGGTGCTATGAGGATGCCTGTGACAGCGCCAGCCCTGGGCCTGCACAAGGCAGGCACCCTGAGAGACCAAGTGTCCTCCCAGGAAGCTCATTTCTAGTGCACATGAGGCTTGAGGGGCTCCCAGCAAAACCTGACAACCCACCCAATGTTAGAACAATGGTGTAAAGACAGATTCCTGGCAACACCACAAAAGAGGGTCATTGCCAATCAAGCTACTGGCTGCATTAGTAAAGGTCACAGGAACTGAATCAAAATAGAAATCCATTTTGGTTGGTTTCATTGGGAGACAAAGAACATGCCGGCCTGTGTTTCTTTTGTCTCAGGGACTTCCAGACGCCGAGAGATGATAAACAGCCAAACAGATGCACTTCCGCGAGAAAGGGCTTTTGTGGCTAGTCATTTGGAAATGAAACGCAGGCGCTCTCCCCATCCTTAACAGAAAGAGCATCGATCAGACTGGCAAGTGGCTGCCATGGGCCATGGTCAGTCGACCTTGGGAGGCTGTGGATTCTGGGTGGTTCTGCCCCTGTTCTCTGTGGTTGGGCAACTTCCTCTCAACCCTCCAGACTTCTGTTTCCTTATGAAGAGTAGGTAAGAGCATGGAGGTCAGATAACCTCCAAGGAACCTCCAGTGCCAAAAATCTATGGGCCTCTTCTTGGCCAATCACCACCATCAAGTCTTCTTTTTTTTTTTTTTTTTTGACAGAATCTCGCTTTGTCACCAGGCTGGAGTGCAATGGCACAATCTCGGCTCACTGCAATCTCCGCCTCCCAGGTTCAAGTGATTCCCCTGTCTCAGCCTCCCGAGTAGCTGAGACTACAGGCATGCATCACCACACCCAGCTAATTTTTTGTATTTTTAGTAGAGATGGGGTTTCACCATGTTGGCCAGGATGGTCTCAAACTCCTGACCTCGTGATCTGCTCGGCCTCCCAAAGTGCTGAGATTACAGGCGTGAGCCACTGCCCCCGGCCTGCCACCTCCAAGTCTTTAATTCACCAGAGTTACTGCTATCCAACCACGGCCCTTGGGCCCACTTGATTCAGCAGAATCAATGTGACCACAGGTAACATGGTAGCAGGACATCATTTAGTGATAAAAATGGTGGTACCATGTTCACATGCTTGCACACACAGGCACACACACTATGGTGCTCCATCTTTGGGTGCTGTGAGTGAGCCTCATGAGGCCCAGTGCAGTCACTGGTGGGTGCCTTCCTACACCTCCCCTTGTTTAAGCATGAATCCTTCCACCCCACAATCCCATGCCCAACACAAGACGATAAAGACTAAACTGAATGGAATCAAACTGACGGTCTCAGCAGCCCTTTGCAGGTTGCTACTATTACATCTACATTGCAGCTGGGAAACTGAGGCCAGTGAGTGCTTTGTAATCTTGGGATCATGATCGGGATTTTCACCCAGACCAAAAGAGTCCAGTCAAGGGCTGGACTACTGGCTGCATTAGTAAAAGTTGCAGGAACTGAATCAAAATAGAAAACAGCAAAGCATCCTGCTGAGTAGACAACTGCTGGACTTTGCATCCCCACAGCCCTGCACAGCATCAAATGCTTTCTGGAAAAAGGTTTGGAATTCTCAAAGAAGCCCCAGAGGTCAGCACCCTCCCTGCTGGTCCCCCTGAGCCAGTCCTCACTCAAGAGGAACCCACCCAGCTCCTTCCTTCCAGATACAGCAGCATCCAGGGCAGATGTGGGCTCCAGTCCCACCTCTGACACATCAGCCTGGGACCATGAGCAAGTTTTACCTCTCTCTGAATCTCACTCTGGCCAGGCAAACACTGGGAGGGTCTGCTGAGAAGCTGGGCCTGGTCTCCATTCTGGCCAGGGAGCATGAACCCATGTCCCATTGGAGGGGGACAGTCAGGACCAACACAACAAGACAAAGAAGTGACCCTCAGGAACTGGGTCCACGAGAGACAGGATTATTAAGAGGAGGGATTCTGTGCAGGCGGAAGCCTGTGGTCCTTCTCAATTCCATACTGGAGATGGTCAGGAAAGCCTCAGCTTCTCCCAGAATGAATTCAGAGGACCTTCCTTCCATTATAGTGACCAAGATCTCCACCTGAGGGGAGCTCACTGGAAGTTTGCTGAAATCCCAAATCAGCATGCTCCTGATTGCCACGCACCTTTGCACTTCAACACAAAATGAACCACGTCCTAGGCTCCAGCCCTGGAACACCAAATGAAGCCACACATGTTCTGCACACCAAGACCTCTTCAATGGAAGGAAAATGAACACTGAGTTTGGTCCACCCTTTTCCCACCTCCCTTACCAAATCCCAAATCATCAAAACAGGCCCAACGCTGCATCTTACAGTCAGGGAAACTGGGGACCACCAGACCAGGGCCCTCCCTCACCCGTGTCCCCCCAGAACTGGCCAGGCTCAGTCGCCACTTAGTGGACTCCAGCCCTCAGCAAGCACTCTTCCCCAACAGCCCTTACACACATTCTCTCTCTCTCTCTCTCTCTCTCCCCCCCCCCTCCTCTCTCTCTCACTTTCTCTTGGATAATTTCTTTAGTAAGGTAGTTCAAAATAAGCTTTTAGTTTAATCTGTTTCCATTTTGTGAGCAACGGTTCTCCCCAGAGTCCTGATTTATTGCGGAAGAAGACATTAGGAGAGGATGGCTCAGAGAGTCGCCCCGCTTCCCCTGTCAGCCAGTTCCAAGACACACACAAGCGTCCACACACTGACGGGCCCTGCGAGGACCAGCTACGCAGTCCGGAGTCCACCCGCCCACGCCCCCTGTGAGTGGTGGGCAGGCACTCAATGCCAGGACAGGGAGCTCACTACCTCACCGACAACCCATCCTAGGGGGAAGGGGGAAGGAGCCAGACCTGGTCCGCCTCCTCTCTCGCCCACCCTGAGGCGACCCCAGAACTGGGGCGTGGGGGGACATCACAACTAGGAGGAGCGGGGACTGCCGGACCCCGCCGGCAGAAGAGCCCGGAGGGGACCCTGTGCCTCCCTTGCCCGCCAGAGTTCTTTGCCTTCAGCTTCTCCCGGGTGAACCCTCCCGCAGAGCCTGGGGAGCCTGCCAGGGTCGCTGTGCGCCCCTCCCGAGCTCAGGGGGAAAGGAAGGACTGCGGCGCAGGTGCAGGAAGGCGCGGGTCCACGCGGGTCCGATGAACTCCGGGAAGTGGGGGCGCCTCCGGTGCGGGCCGACGCCCCCTTACCGCAGAGCAGCAGCAGCAGCGGGAGAAGTTGCGGGCGCCGCCGCGCTCCAGTCTCCATGGCTGGCCGGCCGCGGCTGGGTCACGCTTGGTCCGGCTGGGGGTGCAACCGGGGACGCCCGGATGGGGTTGGGGTGGGGCGGGGCCTCAGGGAGTCCGCCCCCAGGCCGCACCCCCCAGACCACGCCTCCAGCCGTGCCCGTTACCTCCAGATGTGGGGTGCAGGCCTTGCAGGCGCGCCAGGTGGGAGGGACAGGGGGCGGCTGGAGTCTGGGCTGGAATCTCAGCGGGGGTGAGAGTGGGGTGAGGGCTGGGTTTCGAGCTGGGGACTAGCTGGGGTAAGGTGGCGTGCCGGCTCTGAGGGCGGGACTGGGGTGCTGAGCTGCAAAGGAGCGTTTTGGGAGCAGACTGCAGGGGCAGGCTGGGAGGTGAGCTGGAGTGAGAGTGGGGGCCGGCTAATGGTAGGCTGGGCTGCAGGCTGGAAGGACTTGGGGAACTTCCGTCCAGGCTGGGGGCAGAGTGTGGGGGTAGACCGGGGAGGGAGCTGAGGTGTGGATGAAGCGCGGACTGATGATGGCCTAGAGGAGGCTGCGGGTAGACTGGAGGAAGGTGGACCTGGGGGTGGGCTAGGTGTGCCCTGGCCGAAAGTAGACCAGAGTCCAGAGCTGCCCCCAGGCAGGGAGGGGACCTTTGAGCAGAGACACATCTAGGAGCCAGGTCTCCAAGGGTCAGGAAAGTGCATGAAGGAGGTTGGGGTGTGTGTGTGTGTGTGTGTGTGTGTGTGTGTGTGTGTGTGGTGTTCATGGAATATGTGTGTGATGTGCATGTGGAGTATGTGTAGATGCATGTGTGTGCATGGAGTGTGTGATGTATGGTGTGTGTGTGGCATGTGTGAGTTTGAGTCTGAGACAAGGTGTGTTTGTGAGTGTGTGCTTGGGAAACAGTGTGTATGAGAGAGACCGGAGGATGTGGCAGCTACACACAGAGATATATCACACATCAAGGACCAAGCCACAAGCAAACCGAGGGACAAGAGTATCTGGCGCCCCCAAAGACCTGGCCTTGGAGAGTGTCAGGGTTCCTGAGGGGAAGGAAGGCCTCAGTTTCTCCAGCCACAGGTCACTTAGCCAGATGGGTCGCCTCTGTCATCCTCAGCCCCTAGCACAGGCCCTGGCTCCAGTGGACACTTGATGGTGTCTGCAGAATTGTCACTGGCCAGGACTTCCGAGAGCCAGCTAGAGGCCCCTCTCTGCCCTCCAGGGCCCACCCACCACCCCTGGGGGCGCATGCTGGTCTGAGGTTGGAGCACAGGCCCAGGCTCCCACACAGATGGGCCCTCCACTCCTCTGAGCCGTAGGTACTGCTACCTTCCCAGGAGCTGAGCTACCTTCTCCTGGCTTAGAAAGACCGACTTTATTTAACAAGACCCTTATTTGGGAGCAGAACTTTCTGTGCTTTTTTACTGAAGAAATTCTGATTGCAGCCAGAATTAATTCAAAGGAGTCAAAACTAATTAAAATTGATCATTTGTCCTGCCTTCTGCCTGAGGGGTGGGCAGCAGGTGCAGGGGTGGCCACAGAGCCTCCAGTGAGACTGCTGGTGCCCACAGGCCGGGGCCACAAAACAAGCCGACCAGGGCAGCAGGGGTCTGGCTCACACACACACATACCCTACACCAGCCACGACAAACCAAGAGGACGGTCCAGGCCCGGGTGTCCACCCACATCCCACACAGACTCGGCCTTATAGCTCTCTCCAGGAGAGTCTTAGTCCCCACTCAGTCCCACAGCCCCAAAGGCAGTTGCACACAGCTTACAGGCTGGAACAGGAGGATGGGGTCGTCAGGTGGGAGCGGGGGCAGCCAGTTCCCCCAAGCCTGCACCAGGGAGCAATGCTCCCTTTCCTGGACTCCCCACTCTGACTCTGCAGTGGGGAAGCCCTGGCCATCCTGCAGAGTTGGTTCCAACACCTCTTCTCCAAGGAACCAACCATGCCCTGACAAACTCCCAGGGAGTTGTGTCTACTGTCCTCTATGTCCCTCTAAGACAGGGCCCTCACTTCTCCTTTCTGCCCAGTGCTGCCCATGGCCTCTGCAGGGCAGGTGGGTTTAACACAGGCTGTGAGGAGCTGAGCATTGGGAGAGGGGGACCTACCCCTTCCACAGTGCATCCCCCCGACCCTGCGAGTGGAAGGGCTGCCACCAAAAATGAGACTGACCATGAGGTGTACCCTGGACAACACCTGTCTCCCTGCTTGTCCCTCGGTGGGTGCTGGCCCTGGCACCATTCTCTATGCCTGTGATCCTGTGAGCACTGGGGTCCTCTCAGGAATCGCCTCTTATGGTTCATAATTCTTTATTTTTTTAATTTTGTGTTTTTTATTTATTTATTTATTTATTTATTTTTGAGAAGGAGATTCGTTCTTATTGCCCAAGCTGGAGTGCAATGGCATGATCTTGGCTCACCGCAACCTCCGCCTCCGGGGCTCAAGAAATTCTCTTGCCTCAGCCCCCTGAATAGCTGGGATTACAGGCTTGTGCCACCACACCAGCTAATTTTTGAATTTTTAGTAGAGACGGGGTTTCTCCATGTTGGTCAGGCTAGTCATGAACTCCCAACCTCAGGTGATCCTCCTGCCTTGGCCTCCCACAGTGCTGGGATTACAGGAGTGAGCCACCGTGCCCGGCCGGTTCATAATTCTTTATACCAAATTTACCCATTCAGATTGCAGTGTAGTCTCTCTCCTGATCAAGTCCTGATTCACCATTATCCTGATATTTACTCTGTGATTCCTTTTACTCTTAAATAGTTGTAAGAGAACATTTTCTTGACACTCAAGTGGCCTCTTCTAAGAGGAAGAAACAACATCCTGGTGCTTCTACCAGATCAGAGGAACACATGGCCGCTCGGCCTTCACTGTCCCTGGAATTAATGCTTCTGCCCAGTGTCCACGTGTCCAGGCGAGGGCCTGAGCACAGAACCAGGTGAGGTTTGGGATTTGGCTCTGCTTGTCCTGGGGCTAGACCTCGGGAGGGTCGAGCTTGAGAAGGCGCCAAGGGGAGCCATTCCCGGACACCTTGCTCCCCCTGCTGGACAGACACTGAAATAACGGTATCATCGTCGATGAGGCGCCTCTGTCTCCGACGCAGCAGAAATGCCTCAGTGACCCCTCTCCAGGGACACAGAGGACCTATCTTCAAAGAAGGGGAGATGAAGGTGATTCCAGGAAGGAGTGTCTCTGACCATCAGCTGTTTTCCACCTTCCCACGGATCGAGACACAGCCTTCCATCTTCTGTTGCGTTTGTTTGCTCATTTGTTTAATTGCAATAAAAGACACATCAAATCAAGCATTTTAGGATGGGTGTGTTGACTTATGCCTGTAATCCCAGCACTTTGAGAGGCCGAGGTGGGCTAACTGTTTGAGCTTAGGATTCTAGACCAGCCTGGGCAACATGGTAAAACCCTGCCTCTACAAAAAAAAGTACAAAAATTAGCCATGTGTGGTGACACATGCCTGTAGTCCCAGATACTGTGGAGGCTGAGACTGGAGGACGGCTCGAGTCCAGGAGGTCCAGGCTGCAATGAGCCAGGATGACACCACTGCACTCCAGTCTGGGTGACAGAGTGAGACTCTATCTAAAAAAAAGAAAAAAAAATAGCATTTTAACCACTTTCAAGTGCATAGTTCAGTGGCAAGTCCTGAACCACCCAGCTCCAGGACTTCTTCATCTTTCCACACTGAAACTCTGTCCCCATTAAACACTCACTCCCCATCCATTCTCCCTCCCCGAAAACCCTGGCAGCCACCATTTTCTTTTTGTCCCTCTTTCGTTCTCTTCTTTGTATGTCTCCCTCTCCCTTCCCCTACCTTTCCACTTTCTGTCTCCATGAATTTGAGTACTCTGGGGACCTCATTTAAGTGGAATCACTCAGGATTTGTCCTTTTGCATCTGGCTGATTTCGCTGATAATGTCTCCAAGATCCATTCATGTTGTAGCATGGGTCAGAATTTCCTTTTTTTTTTTTTTTTTTTTTTTTTTTTTTTTTTTTTTTTGAGGCATAGTTTTGCTCTCGTCACCCAGGCAGGAGTGCAATGGTGCCACCTCGGCTCACTGCAACCTCCACCTCCTGGATTCAAGCGATTCTCCTGCCTCAGCCTCACAAATAGCTGGGATTACAGGCCCCACCACCACGCCCAGCTAATTTTTGTATTTTTAGTAGACATGGGATTTCAGCACGTTTGGCCAGGCTGGTCTTGAACTCCTGACCTCAGGTAATGCGCCCACCTCGGCCTCCCAAAGTGCTGGGAATACAGGTGTGAGCCACCGCGCCGGGCATCCTTCCTTCTTTTTTTTTTTTTTGAGACGGAGTCTCGCTGTGTCACCCAGGCTGGAGTGCAGTGGCGCGATCTCGGCTCACTGCAAGCTCTGCCTCCCGGGTTTACGCCATTCTCCTGCCTCAGCCTCCGAGTAGCTGGGACTACAGGCGCCCGCCACCACGCCCGGCAATTTTTTTGTATTTTTAGTAGAGACGGGGTTTCACCATGTTAGCCAGGATGGTCTCGATCTCCTGACTTCGTGATCCACCCGCCTCGGCCTCCCAAAGTGCTGGGATTACAGGCTTGAGCCACCGCGCCCGGCCTCATCCTTCCTTCTTAAGGCTGAATAATATTCTGTTGTATGGATAAACCACATTTCATTTATCCATTCATCTGCCATTCATTTCCTTTTTTAAGGAAAATTTTATTTTTGAAAAACCTATCAGAAAATGTCTTGAGGAAAATACATTAAAATGTTATCTGTGGTCATTTCTGGCTCTGGAAAGATCTGAAGTGGTGTTTAATTTACATTATTTTCTGCTTGTCTCTGCTTTCTCGTTTTGCTACACTGCTGTTTGTGGCAAGTGGTGGGTTTTATATAACCTGTGTGCTGTGAGAGTTTATGTGTGTGCACTGAGGAGTATGTGTACCTGTGTGGGTGTGTTATGTGCAGTTCACGAATGTGGCATGTGTGTATGGGATGGGTGTGTACATGCTGAGGTGATATGTGTGTGTGTGTGTGTGGTGTATGGGTGTGTGAATGAGTGGGTGTTCATGTGTGTTGTGTGTGGAGCATATAAGAATCTGTGTGACGTGTGTCTCATGATTGTGACTGTGGTGTGGGGCATAAGTGTGTGCGCATGTGAAGAATGTGTGAGTGTGTTCAGGCAGAACATTGTTGGCCCCTGCTGGACAAAATAAGCACAGTCATCTCCTGGAGCGCAACCTCCCCTCTCCTACCGCATCACCTGACCCCAAGCGTGCTGACCCCATCCCCCTCTGCCCTGCTCCCACCAGGTGACATGAGGAAAGACTCAGAGCTGGTGCCTAGGGCAAGTTTGGGGCCCTGAATACCTCTTGGCTTCTTTGAACCTTGGTGAGCTTGAAGTTAACTGCAACAATTAAAAACACCTATGATGATTATTTGGGGTGTGAGTTATGAGTTTTATTGCCTGCACGTGACAATAAAAACAATGTCATTTAGGAGGGGGTTTCCTGGGCTGCTAAGAAGGAAAAGTACTTTGGAGACTGGAGAGCACAGTACATGATAAGGGTCATTCTCTACAGAACATGTTTGCTGTCTCCTCTAAGGGAGTACAGCATAGTGACAGAGGGAGGCAGGCAGGAAGCCCCTTCCTACATGACATGGTGGAGCAAGAAACCACGAGGCCCCAGGGTGCCAGCTCTGTGCCCAGGACCACTGTCTCAGGGTGAGGCCTAAGGAAGCACTTACCCCAGAGAGCTCAGTACCACGTGCTCCCTGTTGGTTTGGAAAGCTCAGGGCCACGCACTCCATTGGTTTGGTTGTGTGTCATGAATCCCTGAGGAAAAGACGAAGCTCTGGATTTTAATAGAAGAGAGAAAGGGAAAGATCAGTATGGTTCACAGAATAACGGCCCCCAACGATGTGCGCACCTGATCTCCGGAAACTTTGTCACCTTACATGGCCAAAGGGTCTTTGTGGATGGATTAGTTAATTTCATGTGTCAATTTGGTTGGGCCACGGTGCCCACATACATGCTCAGACACTATGTTGGGTGTGCTGTGAGGGTATTTTGGATGAAATTAACATTTAAATCGATGGCCTCTGAGCAAAGCAGATTGCCCTCTTTAATGTGGGTGGGCCTCATGCAGTCAGGTAAAGACCTGAAGGTAATGAAAAGACTGACCTCCTCCAAGAAAGGAGTCCCCCCTACAGATGGGCACTGGACTTGAACTGCAGCCTGGGCTCTCCCCTGTGTCCCCAGCCTGCCAGCCAGCCCTGCAGATTTTGGACTTGCCAGTCTCCATAACCCCATGAGCCAGTTCCTTAAAATAAATATCTTTCTGTATATCCACACATCCTGTTGGCTCTGTTTTAGAGAACCCTGACTGATATGAACACAGAGGTGATGAAGGGCACAGACTTTGAGGTGAAGAGATGATCCTGGATTATCTGGGGACAGCGGGGAGGCCAATTTAATCACATGAGCCTTCAAATCAGAGAACCTTTCCTGGCTGGATCAGAGAGATGAGACCGGGGAAGAGAGGTGAGATATCACAGCTCTTCAAAGACCTGCCGTGGCTGGTTTTGAAGATGGAGGAAGGAGTCATCAGTCAAGAAACGGGGTGGCCTCTAGAGCTGGGAACAGCCCCCACCGACAACCAGCAAGGAAGCAGGGGCCCAGGGCCTATAGCCACGGAGAATTGCTCTCTGCCAACTGCCTGAAAGAGCAAGAACACAGACTCTGCCCTGGAGCCCCTAGGAAGGAACACAGCCTGCCAAAACCTTGACTTTAGCCCAGGAGACCCACGTCAGAACTGTAGGATAACACATTCGTGTAGCTTAAGCTGCCAAGTTTGTGATAAAATGTTATGGCAGCCCTAGAAAACTGTACCACCTAATATAACCTAAAACTCATACAACTAAATCGCCTCATGTCTTAGTTGGGGCTCCTCCAGAGTAACCCCAGACACCAGGAATGGAGGTGGAAAACGCACACAGGCAAATCTCACAGAGTGGGAGGTACACCCAGCCCCAGCAGCCCTGCTTGCATCACACACGGCTCCCCCCGGAAGCCGCCCTCCTGCTGGAGCAAGGGGTCACCCTGTTGAAAAGCCAGCTTGGAGGTGATGCCCTGTGAGAGTGAGGTCCCATCCTCCAGAATGCAGTGTACATGTGCCATGTTACTGTGCAGACTCCACAAGGCTGGATATCAAAGAAGAAGCAGGAGGTCGCTCGCCATCACTCCAGTGGCCCACGTGGGGAAGTCGTGTTGCCTGTGCCCATAACTCTGGCTCTGCAGGTTGGACATCCTGATCCCACCAGGGGGAGAACAGTAGTGACCACTTTGATGGGAGGAGCTGACCCTGATCACTGGGGAAGGAAGGGCTGTGACTTTATACCGGGACCAGGAAGGAAAATAGGAAACCCAGGCAGTCAGTCCGCTTAGGGGCCTCTGGGTCCTTGCAGGCTGCGCTTTGACAGTAAATGTGCAAGTGCTGCAGCTACGACCTGGGAGAGGCTGGTGAGACCAGAAAGACACTGTCCAACATGCTAGCCAAGAGTCAGGGGAACCCAGGAGGGAGAGTAGAGGACAACTGTATGTGAGCAGTGGCGGGAGCTGTAGATGACCTCACGATCTTCCTCTTCTGAGCTTCCCCAGGGAAGAGGCCAATAGAATCCTCTCCCTAGGTCCTGCGCGGCCCACTACAAAGGATGCATTCTGAAACCATCAACTCCCTTAGAACAGTTGGAAACCCCTCTTGTTGTGTTGCATTGCATCCTTGAAGTTAGGCCTCACTGATCTCAATGTGTAACTACTTCAGATACTCAGTTTACCATCCAGCCTCAAACCTGATTAAAGTGAGATGATAATGACATCATCTAGCCAATGACAGATCAGATTAGAATGTATCTTAAAAGAGGAGATGGATAGTCAGTAATGGAAAAAGAGTTTAAATTATTGCCTGGGTCACTTCAGGTTGAATTCCAAACCTCAAAACCCATCGCCAGAACTCAGGACTTTAGTGTGTAATACCAAGGAAATGGAGCCTCAGAGAGAAGACTTTGCCCCAGGGAACCCAGCTGGACAGTCCTCAAGTCCATCCTCCCCTCATGTGCGCTATTATTTATTCTCATTGGTCACCCTTTGTTCATGCCTGGGTCCTGGAGGACAATCACCCACCCCCTAGGTCCCTCCCCCAAGAACACTCCACTGCAGCCGGGTGCGGTGGCTCAAGCCTGTAATCCCAGCACTTTGGGAGGCCGAGACGGGCGGATCACAAGGTCAGGAGATCGAGACCATCCTGGCTAACACGGTGAAACCC